TTATACATTGTATTCTAACAAATCCATCGTGAAGATTTCTTTTATTTTCCATTTTTTTTTTTTGAACCAATCGGTGAAGAAAAGGTTGATATGTAACCATTTTTACACTTAAAATTCATTTTTAGTTTTCGATCCTTAAAATTACCGAGAAATACATTTGAAATGCACCTGCTTCGACTTATCCATTTTTTTTTTTTAAGAAAAAGATTTAATTTTTTTATCCATCAACTTATTTACACACAAAAATAAAATTAATATGAAATGTATGACTGATAAAGACAATACAATTATCAACTTTAATTAATGGGAAAGACGGGATGGCGTTGCATTATTGAGAAGAAAAGAAAAAATCAAAGAGAGTGTTTGCCTATAATACGCTGCCAACGCATTTTTGTCGCTGATCTATTTATCTATTTCGCAAATATAAATATATAGATTGTGCTAAAGATTCCTTGAAGGGAGAAAAACTGAGTGCTTTCAACTGCTAGCTAGACCACTTCTTCAGACAAACATCTTGCTCTTCAGGTTTGCACACTCTCCTGAAAAATTTGCCATTTTCTTTTTTCAGTACTGAAACATTATATTCATAACCTTCAATTAACTTTGATTTCCAATTCTTATGCATGTCGTTGTATATCATTCTTTTTTTTTAAAAAGAATTAGCTAACATTCTTTTTTAAAAAAAAAAATTGAAATATATTAGGTGTTCTTCGGCAGATGGGACAGAATGGTGCAGGAAGTAATAATTCAAATGATGTCAAAGATGAAAGCAGAAGGCAATTAGTGATTGATATACCAGACAACTTAGAGGATTTACTATCGCAGCCAGCTTTATGGCCGGAAATTTGTATCTACAGAGTTCCAAGAAAACTTCGAGCTATAAGTCCGTCAGCCTACACTCCTCAAATGATTTCCATAGGCCCTTTTCACCACAATGAAAAATCGTTGAAACCTATGGAGAAGCACAAACTGAGATATTTGGCAGAATTCTGCAGAAGGACTGGTAAGAATTGGGCTGATCTTGCTGAGAAAATTATAGAATGGGAAGAAAAAATCCGTCACTGTTATGACCAAACATTTGAGTCGTATGAAAGCAACATGTTTGTAAAAATGATTCTATTGGATTCTGTGTTCATTATCGAATTTTTCTTGAGAAGAGGAGAGAATTTTATTTCGACAGAAAAATATAAAGCTGATTATATGTTAGGCAAACCATCGCGCGAACATGGCATATTAGAAGATTTGATATTGCTTGAAAATCAGCTCCCTTATTTTGTGCTTGAGGATTTATATGAATTTGCTACTGGAAATTCTGGTTTTCTTTCTCTCGTGTCCTCCAACTTATTGGATTACCTGCTTCCTCCAAGAATTGATGATGACGATCATAAAAAGAATAGATCTTGCGATTGCTTCTCCATTTTTTATGGGTTTTGGATTTCGAATAGGTTCTGCTGTCAAAAAGAGCACAAAGACGATGAGAGTACAAGCGTAGAAGGAAAAGAAATTGAGGAGAAACCTAAGCACTTGACTGATTTGGTTAGAAGATCAAGATCCTACAAACATCCAGTGTCAAAGAATGATGCTTGTATTGAAAGTCTTTATAGTGCTACAAAGTTAAATGAGGCAGGAGTCAAGTTTAAGTTGGATAAAAAGGCGTGGCCCCTTGATATAAAATTTGAAAGTGGAGAATTGAAAATGCCGAGATTTGAAGTTCATGATGGCACAGAACGATTGGTAAGAAATCTGATGGCTTTTGAGCAGTGTCACTATCCAAATGATCCTTACATATGTGAGTATATATTGATATTAGATTTTCTAGTAGATACTGAGAGAGATGTGGAATTGCTTATTCAAAATGGTATAAAGATGTGGAATTGCTTATTCAAAATGGTATTATCACTAATTTGTTAGGGGAGTGCAAATCAGTGGCTAAGATGGTGAATAAGCTTTGTCTTGAAATTACAACATCTGGGTCTTGCTTCTATGGAGTAAGTGTGGATCTTAATAAACATTATGAGAATCCTTGGTTTAAGACTGTGGCTATCATGAGAAGTGTATATTTTAGCGATCTCTGGAGAGGGACTGGAACTATTGCAGCAGTTATACTTCTATTTCTCACTTTTATACAATCTGTCTACTCTCTCAGTCGTATATTTTAAGTTCAGTATACTTATGTTGTTGTAGTGATGTTCTTATTATATGTTGTTGTGGTAATGTTATTATGTTTTAATGTTCTTATTATATTATATGTTACTTAGACTAATGCTTTTTACTGCTCTGTTTGTGATTTGTAGTTTTCCAACTTTTGACATTCTAATAAGAGTTTGCTTTATCTGTATTGCAAAGTGCTTCGGCTTCCTTCATCTCCTCCCTTCTTTTTATTTCTTTGTTTAGCTATCAAAATGGCAGAGTCTTACTGTTTTAGCTGTAAGTTACCTTATCGGTCGCATTTGCCAAATTTAAAGCCATAAACTTTTAGTTCAATTTTCATAATGACCATTGCGCTCAATGATTCTAAACATTTATTTCAGTCCACAAGCGAATAATTTTTAATCTACTATTAGTTTACAAGCCAAATTGATAAAAAAAAAGGGTTACACCTACTCGTCATTAAACTCCCTAATCAACTGAAAAATTTTCTGGGAAGGCACCACCCGAGACTCAAGAACTTTCTCTTAATCTTGGGAAGGCACCAACCCGTTAAGACTCAAGAACTATTTGCTTCTAATCTCTCTTTCCAAAGCACTGACCCATCAACATCATAAAATTAATCCTATTATAATTAACGCAATAATTCTAAAGGAGAATTGGGAGTCCGAAATCACATTATCTATTGAAAAGATCCATCTCCGATTGGCAAATTGGTAAACTGAAGTTGGAGCGGAATCGAGATTCCGGCGTTTTCTTTGCATTAAATTGTCTATTCCGAAGCTGGACGACGTCGCCGGAGATATAAATGCAGGTGAAAGTTACAAGAAATCAATTCTGCATTAATTGGACTCCCTTGAAAATATCATTTTCTTCATCGAGAGAAAATGGTGGAAATTATTTCCAAGTCGTCCGCTTTTACTGCTTCCTTCTCTCGTATTGGAAAGATATCATCTTTTAATACGCTTGGGCTTCACTTCTTCGTGTTGTTGCTGTCATTTCCACTGAGCAAATTATCCACACTTGTTGCGACTCGTCGTTTATTAAAAGCTGCTAAACGAGCACCTTGAAAACATGTGTGCGCCTTCCTCTATAGTCACTTCAATATTGTAGGGTCTTTGATCTGAATCTCTGGAACTTATTTTGTGGCTAAACAACACTTGTGAGTGCATCTACAATTCCTTGCAATAAATCCAAGATCCGATTAGTGAAGTTGTGTGAATTTGAATATTTTAGGATATGAAAGTCAAAATTGGTGCGAATCTCCCCGGAATGGAAATAATAATATTTTTATTCCGGAATAATATATACTATGTATAAAGTGGGAATAAGGGAAATAATAAGATTCCTGATAATGACATTAACGAAATTTAAGAATGTCTAAATAACTTTATTAATAACCAAATTAAATTTTCATTTTATAATATTATGCTTCAAGATTAATTTAAGTTAACTACATCAATTAATCTTTATTTTAATATTATACTTAATCGATAATTAACATAACTATATATTAAATAAACATATTTTATTTTTAATTATTTTAATGTTATATAATAGGCTATACATGAAATTTTAAAAATTCTTTTATTTACTATATATGTTCTTAATTTTATGCAATTTATGGTTTAAATTAAATGTTAGAGCTAAATATGTATTACATACTTCATGTATTTATTATTTAACTTAATAGATAATAAAATAAATTTATAATCTATAATCTACATACATGTGGGAATAGAGGAGGAAATTATGAGATTTCATAAAATAGCCTTAGTTTAATTTGAAATTCATGATATATCATTTTAATTAATTTTTTATGCATTTTAATCGTATAAAATAAATCTATTTATCCTTTTGAAGATTCTTTTTGTTCTATTTTTAATGCCTTTTAATAAAAAAATAGATTTTATTTATACTTTTGAATATCCTTTTAGTTAGATTTTTTATATATTTTAATTCGAGAAAACATGTATATATATATATATCCTCTATTTGATCTTGTAATATTATTGTTCAATGATTTTTATAATTAATAGTTTTTTTTTTATGTTTTTAATCATATATTCTCATATTATATTGTTTTTTAGGAGGTAAATCGAAAACTTTAATTCAACTATTGAAAGTGGAACTTAAATTCTATTAATTTATTATGTTCTAAATTGTTTAAAATATGACTAAACACTTTCTTATTACACTATATTAGTTAATTACAATGAAATTAAAATAATTTTTTAAAATATATTATTTCTCTTTAAATTTTTTTTGGAGAGGATGGTATACACTTACTTGAATCATTTACGTATTATTTTATTTTAAAATTTTTTAAAAATATCCACGCTTTACGTATTATTGTATCATTTACGTATTATTTTTTTAAAAATAAAAAAAAATATCCATGCTTGGCACATAAGTTAATTATGGCAGAGTTAGCAATGGCCAGAGGCCAGTGGCCGCTGGTTGACGCTGTTAATAACTAAACTAACAGTTGGTTTGCGGCTTTATTAATGATGATGGCTTCTTGCTCCAATATCTTGTGTGTACTATTTATAATAACTTAGGGTTTGCTATAAAAGTTTGAAACTGAGCTCAAAATCTTAACATCAACACTTGCAAATTACTCCACCATCAACTTTTACGGTGACGATGGAGGACTGAGTGGAATATTAGGACAGCATGCAAGAATTGGGAATAAGACAAAAATAAAACATAAGAAATGGCTACTTAGTCTGTCTAATTGTGAAATATTCTCTTGCTCTTAATGGAAATTAATTTGAAATTGCTTTGTGATATTCGTGACAATCAAGCTTTGTGATACTCGTGACGATCTATAAGAAACAACCCATTTCGTGACGATCTATAAGAAACAACCCATTCAACAATTCATATGAAAATAGACATTATTTGCCAATAGACAGTTAATGGATAAGAAAATGAAGGTCTGTGTGACAGGAGCTGCAGGCTACCTTGGTTCTTACCTTGTCAAGAAACTCTTAGAAAAAGGCTACATCGTACATGCCACAACAAGGAATTTAGGTATATATGTATAGAGCTGAAATCTTTAATTAATTTATTTAATTTCAAGATTTGAATCAATTAGTACGTTTGGTTCGTTCTTGTATTTTGTAGGTGACACACGCAAGGTAGGGCTTCTAAAGAGTCTTCCAAATGCAGAGACAGGATTAAGATTGTTTGAAGCTGACATTTATAATTCAGACCAGTTCAAATATGCAATTCAAGGCTGTGAAATTGTTGTCCATTTGGCCACTCCATTGATTCATGAACCTCAGAGCTCTCAGGTAATTTAATTAACCCTAATAAACTATTACAAACAATTATGTAGGTCTCGGATTTTTTTTTTCTAATTAATTTATATTGCACATATACAGTTTAAAGATACATCAGAAGCTGCAGTTGCAGGAGTGAAGAGCATCGTAGAATCTTGCATTAAAGCAGGGACTGTAAAGAGACTGATATACACAGCTTCAGTGGTGGCTTCATCTCATATGAAAGAAGAAGGATTAAGGTTTAAAGATTCCATGAACGTGTCCTGTTGGACTCCGATCAATCTCTCATTTCCGAACAGTCCCCAAGCAATGACTGTACGAATAACTTGGTTGCATAAATTAATTAATAATCGATTAATTCTGTATAATAAATTCTTGTATATACAATAATTAATTAACAGTAAAATGCAAACTATTTTATTAGGCATACACACGATGAAGACGCTCCCTCAAGAGCAAGAAGTGCCTGAGGCAGGCATAATAGCGAAAAGCTTGAAGTAGTGAGCATTACATGTGGATTAGTGGGAGGAGGAACCGTACATTCTGCGATGTCTCAGAGTATGGGAATACTAATTTCACAAGTTACAGAGGATAAGATTTGGTATCCCACACTTAGGCAATTGGAAGACATAATAGGAAAGCTACCAATCGTTCATAATGAAGACGTTCGTGAGGCTCATATTTTCTGCATAGAGAAGCCATCCGTTAGCGGTAGATTTATATGTGCTAAAGCTTAAAGCTTTATTATCATCGGCAGAGATTGCCAATTATTGGCAAAAGAAATACCCACATATTGCTATTAATGGAGAGTAAGTTAATTTCTGAGTATTTAAAGCAATAAATAATTCATATTAGAGTGTGTATTTCTAAAAATGAGAGATCACGATCTCGAAATTCAATTAGAAATGAATAAGAAAAATAATAATTTATTGATTGATTTTCAGGTTTGTGGAGAATTTGGACAGGGAAATTGTTTTGAACTCTACAAAACTGAAGGAACTTGGATTTGAATACAAGCATGGCATCGAGAAGATTTTGGATGACACTTTAAAGTGTGTTCAAGAATTGGGCCAACTCTCAGTTTTAACTCAGCCCATTTAGTGATAATTAATTAATTAATTAATGTGATATGCTAAAAATAAAAATGATGATGCAAGGCTTGACCCTCTATATATTATATAATATATTATATTATATTATTATATATATAATATATATATCTTATATATATGTATTCGCAAATAAAATTTATTCTGGTAGCAACTTTACTTTATTTTACGAATTAAAAAAAGACTTGCAACAATTTGGGTTATTTTCCTATTTTGCAATGTGCTGCTATTTGAATTTAAAAAAGACTTGAAGAATTCAGGTCTTGCTAATTAAAGGAGCAAAAAGTCAACAAGCAAACCCTAACTACCAAGAGAAAGTGACACATGCTTCAAAAAACAATTTTTTATCTGCCATTTTATTCAACCAATGTAGGCTTACGCTTCTAAGTATTCTAATTCTTATCAACCGGGGGTTAAATCGAACCTAATTTCGAGTCTATTAGTAACATTAATTTTTCAAACAAAAAATATTTAAATATTTAGTAAATATTATAAAATTAATTAATTAATTTTCTCACGTTTTCTCACGCCTATATCGGAAAAATCCACGACTTTTTCAATTAATAATAAACTAAATAGTCAAAAAAAAAAAAAAAAGAAAAGAAACGGGAAGGATTCCATATGAATCTAACTACCCCCACTAAAATTTGAAACATTCAATCTTTAAAATTAAAATAAATGTGACATTTATACATTTTGTATTCTAAGCAAAATCGATCGTTCAGAGAATTTCTTTATTTTCCATTTTTTTTTATCAACGCCAATCGTGCAAAATTTCTTGTGTGAATGGACATGCATATTCCTCATTGGAGAAGAAAAGGCTGATATTAACATTTTTTTCCATCGGATGAGGGATATCGTATAATAAGTGGAATGAAATATAGATAATTACGCTTACATCTCAGCCAAAGTCATCCATTTAGCATGGCACATTCCTATATTTGCTAGTAAGTATATTTTTTTACATTTAATTTTAGCTGTAATGGATTCGATTAAGTTGAGGTTTAGAGTTTGTAACGTATGATTGCGTATATCAAACTGATTAAAAAATTCTTTTTTGTTTGTATCGCTAGATCAAGCATTCCTAAGTGATGGGAAAGAACGAACAGCAGATTCAGATGCTTCAAAAGAAACAAAAAACCAACCCCAAAGTTGAAATCCACTACTTTCACGAGTTTGCAAGCGTTTAAGTTTCCGAGCCAGGCCTATGGCCATCTGAGCTTGTTATCTAACAAAGATCTACAAAGTTCCAAGAAAACTTCGAGCTTTAAATCCAGCAGCCTACACTCCTCAAATGATTTCAATCGGCCCTTTTCACCTCAACGACGACGGTTTGAAAGTCATGCAAAAGCAGAAATTGAAATACTTGGTTGGCTTCTGCACGAGAACTGGTAAAAAAGATTGGGTTGATCTTGTAGACAAAATCCGAGACTGGGAGAAAACAATTCGCCACTGTTATGAAGTTTCAACAACTGATGAGATATCCAAAGAAGATTTTGCAAATATGATTCTGTTGGATTCTGTGTTTATTATCGAACTTTTCTTGAGAAGAGGAGAAAAATATAAATTCTTTGAGAACGGAAATAATGACAAATATGAAGAGGATTATATTCTTGGAAAATCGACGAGAGAATATGGTTTATTAGAGGATTTAATATTAGTGGAAAATCAGTTACCGTATTTTGTTCTTGAAGATTTATATGACCTCACCGTCGGAAAGTTAAACGAAGAAGGCTATCCTTCTTTTTCCGATCTTATGGTCAAAAATTTATGGGACTATTTATCTCCGCCACCAATTGACGAAGAACATAAAAAATGTAGCTGCGATTGCTTCTCTTGCTTTTATTGTTTTGGATTCCTAGATGCTTCTCATGTTCAGAGCTCAACGATCAAAGCGTCAAAGGAGAAGAAGAAGACGAAGAGGACGACTATCTTGAAGAGAAACCGTTAAATTTCACGGATCTAATTCGAAAATATCGTTGCTATAAACGTCCCAAGTCAAATAACAATAACGGAAAAACAGTGAAAAATCTATACAGAGCTACAAGGTTACACGAAGCAGGAGTGAAGTTCAAAGTGAGTCCAAAAGCCTGGCCAATCAACATGAAATTTAAAAGAGGAGAATTGAGAATGCCATTATTTATAGTGGATGATAATACAGAGCGATTGATTCGAAATCTGATGGCATTTGAACAGTGTCATTATCCAAACGATCCATTCATCTGCGATTATATTTGGATTCTTGATTTTCTGATATACACAGAGCAAGACGTTGATTTGCTTTGTAGAAAGGGGATTATTGTTAATCTATTAGGTGACAATGAATCAGTGGCTAAGTTGGTTAATAATTCCTGATTCATTGTTCTATTTGTAATGTTTATCTCTTTGAACTTTTCGCTATTCTAATAACAGCTTTTCATATTCGAATTTGAAACTGCAAATCTTAAAGTCAGAAAATACGATGCTAAGCTTTATGACACAGTCCAATCTATTCCCACTCATTTTGGGCCAAATTGCCCATTATGATAAATCGAGGCCCAGTGCTCAATTTATTATTATATTGTAATCGAGATCCACTTTCAGAAACTCAATTCCAGCGCAAGAGATTATATTAGTATATTGGAACAGGACAGATTGCAATATTGAGGGAAAAGCATAGTCAAAGAGACATTCGTCGGTTGGAAAAAATACGCACCCTATACATATATTAATATACCTAACAATTTCAATTTTCACACTTAAAATTCATTTTTAGTCTTCGAACCTTAAAGATTACCGAGAAATACACTCGTAGTTCAATTTTCATAATGACCATTGCGCTCAATGATTCTAAACATTTATTTCAGTCCACAAGCGAATTAATTTTTAATCTACTATTAGTTTACAAGCCAAATTGATAAAAGAAAAAAGGGTTAAACCTACTCGTCATTAAACTCCCTAATCAACTGAAAAATTTTCTGGGAAGGCACCACCCGAGACTCAAGAACTTTCTCTTAATCTCTCTTTCCAAGCACTGACCCATCAACATCATAAAATTTTTTTTTTTTTTTTTTTTTGTAAGAAAAAGATTTAATTTTGTTATCCATCAACTTATTTACAAACAAAAACAAAATTAATATGAAATGCATGACTGATAAAGACAATGCAATTATCAACTTTAATTAGTGGGAAGGACAGGATGGCGTTGCATTATTGAGGAGAAAAGAAAAATCAAAGAGAGTATGTGTCTAATACGCGGCCAACACATTTTTTTCTCCTTTGAAGGAGACATTCTGAGTGCTTTCAACTGCTAGCTAGACCACTTCTTCAGACAAAGACCTTGCACTTCAGGTATGCACACTCACCTGAAAAATTTGCCATTTTCTTTTTTCAGTACTGAAACATTATATTGATAACCTTGAATTAACTTTGATTTCCAATTCTTATGCATGTCGTTGTATATCAGTTTTGATCTCTCCCTATCAAAAGTTCTTTTTAGTTGTTAAAAGATGTCTTTGTGTCCAAATGGAGTTAATTAGCTAACATTTTTTTAAAAAAAAAAAAAAAAATTAAAATATATTAGGCGTTCTTGGGCAGATGGGACAGAATGGTGCAGGAAGTAATAATTCAAATGATGTCAAAGATGAAAGCAGAAGGCAATTAGTGATTGATATACCAGACAACTTAGAGGATTTACTATCGGACAACATGTACCTACAAATTTGTCCGTTTCAGCGACATTTGATTTTTATCCCTAAATTGATTGGAAAAATATGCACCCCACTATATATAATATACGTAACACATTTTTGTCGCTTTTAAAGGGATAAAATCTGTCTTTTGAATTTTATAGAATTTTGTTTAATTTTTCTATAATTTAATTGGATATATATTTTTAAATATTTTTTAAATAGATATAAAGACCTTTAAAATTTTAATATTTTTTCAAACACTTTTATAATGGTTACTTTGTTAATTTTTTAATTTAATCTCATTTATATTCTTCTTTAAACTTGAATAAAGTACACTATTACTAATATTATTGTTTACAACTTTACATATTGATTCTCATGTTGTAGTGAGAACTTTTAAAGCTAATTTATTTGTTTAATTTCTGTACAAAGATATGGTTTCGAAATATTATATGCTATTGATAAAATTTCAAGTTTAACTTCTTTTAAATATTTTTTAAATAGATATAAAGATAATTAGACCTTTAAAATTTTAATATTTTTTCAAACACTTTTATATGTTACTTTGTAATTTTTTAATCTAATCTCATTTAAATCTTCTTTAAACTTGATAAAGTACATTCTATTACCAATATTATTGTTTACAACTTTACATATTGATACTCATGTAGAGTTGAAAACTTTAAGTAATTTATTTTTAATTTTGTGCAAAGATATGGTCCAAAATATTACATGTTATTGACAAAATTTTAGCTTAACTTCATCAATTACTAATCTAAGTATGTGAGACCAAGACATGAAATATAATTAGTTACTAGTCAATAACAACGTGGACCTACAAATTTATTACTTCCTCTCTTCCAATTTACGAGCGACATTCAATTTTTTCATAAAAATTAAGAAAATAATTGAAATATAATGATTTTTTAAAAATATAGAGTAGAATGTGTCAATTGTCCTTCTTAAAATTAAAAGCTCCTCATCTAATTTTGCTACAAAATACTTAATAAATATGGATAAAATTTTAAAAAATAATAATTAATATAGTCTCAGAATTCTGAATAAATACTTAAAGTGGAATAAGATAAAATGCATAATTGTTACTATTAAAGTGTAACGAAGGAGGGAGTACCATATTAGGACAGAACAGATTGCATTATCAAGGAGAAAAGAACAAAAAAAAAAAAAAAAAAAAAAAAAAAACAAATGACAGGAAAGACTCCATGTGATCTAACTTTCCCACTAAAATAATTTGAACATGGTCATCTTATAAAATTAAATAAATGTTACTATTTATACATTGTATTCTAACAAATCCATCGTGAAGATTTCTTTTATTTTCCATTTTTTTTTTTTGAACCAATCGGTGAAGAAAAGGTTGATATGTAACCATTTTTACACTTAAAATTCATTTTTAGTTTTCGATCCTTAAAATTACCGAGAAATACATTTGAAATGCACCTGCTTCGACTTATCCATTTTTTTTTTTTAAGAAAAAGATTTAATTTTTTTATCCATCAACTTATTTACACACAAAAATAAAATTAATATGAAATGTATGACTGATAAAGACAATACAATTATCAACTTTAATTAATGGGAAAGACGGGATGGCGTTGCATTATTGAGAAGAAAAGAAAAAATCAAAGAGAGTGTTTGCCTATAATACGCTGCCAACGCATTTTTGTCGCTGATCTATTTATCTATTTCGCAAATATAAATATATAGATTGTGCTAAAGATTCCTTGAAGGGAGAAAAACTGAGTGCTTTCAACTGCTAGCTAGACCACTTCTTCAGACAAACATCTTGCTCTTCAGGTTTGCACACTCTCCTGAAAAATTTGCCATTTTCTTTTTTCAGTACTGAAACATTATATTCATAACCTTCAATTAACTTTGATTTCCAATTCTTATGCATGTCGTTGTATATCATTCTTTTTTTTTAAAAAGAATTAGCTAACATTCTTTTTTAAAAAAAAAAATTGAAATATATTAGGTGTTCTTCGGCAGATGGGACAGAATGGTGCAGGAAGTAATAATTCAAATGATGTCAAAGATGAAAGCAGAAGGCAATTAGTGATTGATATACCAGACAACTTAGAGGATTTACTATCGCAGCCAGCTTTATGGCCGGAAATTTGTATCTACAGAGTTCCAAGAAAACTTCGAGCTATAAGTCCGTCAGCCTACACTCCTCAAATGATTTCCATAGGCCCTTTTCACCACAATGAAAAATCGTTGAAACCTATGGAGAAGCACAAACTGAGATATTTGGCAGAATTCTGCAGAAGGACTGGTAAGAATTGGGCTGATCTTGCTGAGAAAATTATAGAATGGGAAGAAAAAATCCGTCACTGTTATGACCAAACATTTGAGTCGTATGAAAGCAACATGTTTGTAAAAATGATTCTATTGGATTCTGTGTTCATTATCGAATTTTTCTTGAGAAGAGGAGAGAATTTTATTTCGACAGAAAAATATAAAGCTGATTATATGTTAGGCAAACCATCGCGCGAACATGGCATATTAGAAGATTTGATATTGCTTGAAAATCAGCTCCCTTATTTTGTGCTTGAGGATTTATATGAATTTGCTACTGGAAATTCTGGTTTTCTTTCTCTCGTGTCCTCCAACTTATTGGATTACCTGCTTCCTCCAAGAATTGATGATGACGATCATAAAAAGAATAGATCTTGCGATTGCTTCTCCATTTTTTATGGGTTTTGGATTTCGAATAGGTTCTGCTGTCAAAAAGAGCACAAAGACGATGAGAGTACAAGCGTAGAAGGAAAAGAAATTGAGGAGAAACCTAAGCACTTGACTGATTTGGTTAGAAGATCAAGATCCTACAAACATCCAGTGTCAAAGAATGATGCTTGTATTGAAAGTCTTTATAGTGCTACAAAGTTAAATGAGGCAGGAGTCAAGTTTAAGTTGGATAAAAAGGCGTGGCCCCGAGGCAGGAGTCAAGTTTAAGGTGGATAAAAAGGCGTGGCCTCTTGATATAAAATTTGAGAGGGGAGAATTGAAAATGCCAAGATTTGAAGTTCACGATGGCACAGAACGATTGATAAGAAATCTGATGGCTTTTGAGCAGTGTCACTATCCAAATGATCCTTACATATGTGACTATATATTGATATTAGATTTTCTAGTAGATACTGAGAAAGATGTGGAATTGCTTATTCAAAATGGTATTATCACTAATTTGTTAGGGGAGTGCAAATCAGTGGCTAAGATGGTGAATAAGCTTTGTCTTGAAATTACAACATCTGGGTCTTGCTTCTATGGAGTAAGTGTGGATCTTAATAAACATTATGAGAATCCTTGGTTTAAGACTGTGGCTATCATGAGAAGTGTATATTTTAGCGATCTCTGGAGAGGGACTGGAACTATTGCAGCAGTTATACTTCTATTTCTCACTTTTATACAATCTGTCTACTCTCTCAGTCGTATATTTTAAGTTCAGTATACTTATGTTGTTGTAGTGATGTTCTTATTATATGTTGTTGTGGTAATGTTATTATGTTTTAATGTTCTTATTATATTATATGTTACTTAGACTAATGCTTTTTACTGCTCTGTTTGTGATTTGTAGTTTTCCAACTTTTGACATTCTAATAAGAGTTTGCTTTATCTGTATTGCAAAGTGCTTCGGCTTCCTTCATCTCCTCCCTTCTTTTTATTTCTTTGTTTAGCTATCAAAATGGCAGAGTCTTACTGTTTTAGCTGTAAGTTACCTTATCGGTCGCATTTGCCAAATTTAAAGCCATAAACTTTTAGTTCAATTTTCATAATGACCATTGCGCTCAATGATTCTAAACATTTATTTCAGTCCACAAGCGAATAATTTTTAATCTACCTACTCGTCATTAAACTCCCTAATCAACTGAAAAATTTTCTGGGAAGGCACCACCCGAGACTCAAGAACCTTCTCTTAATCTCTCTTTCGAAGCACTGACCCATCAACATCATAAAATTAATCCTATTAATAATTAACCAAATAATTCTAAAGGGAGATTGGAGTCGAAATCCACCTTATCTATTGAAAGATCCCAATCTCCGATTGGCGAATTGGTAACTGAAGTTGGAGCGGAATCAGATTCCGGCGTTCTTGCATTATTGTCTATTCCAAAGCCGGACGACGTCGCCGGAGATATCGATGCAGGTGAAAAATTAATAAAGAAATCATTCTCCATTATTGACTTCTTGAAAATATCAGTTTCTTCATTGAGAGAAAATGGTGGAAATATTTCCAAGTCGTCGCTTTTACTGAGTCCTTCTCTGTAGTTGAAAGATATCTCTTTGAATAGCTTGGGCTTCACTTCTTCGTGTTGTTGCTGTCGTTCTATTGAGCAATTATCCTCACCTTCTTGCGACTTGTCGTTTATTGAGGCTGCTAAACGAGCAGCTTGAAAACATGTGTGCCTTCCTCTATAGGTCACTTGAAATATTGGTCTTGATCTGATCTCTGAAACATGTGTGCCTTCCTCTATAGGTCACTTGAAATATTGGTCTTGATCTGATCTCTGAAATTGTTTTGTGGCTAAACAAACTTGTGAGTGACGGTGAGTGCATCTATAGTATCCTCTGCAACAAAACATGTCGTTTAGTGAATGTGGTGTGGTGTCTGGAAAACTCAGAATTTTATATTTTAAGATTATAAAAGTCAAAATTGGTGTGAATATCGTGGAATGGAAATATTATATTTTTTGGTTCCTTGAATCAAATCTATATCACGTAGAAAAGTGAAATAATGAGATTTTCGATAATGCCTTTAATGAAATTTAAAATGTTATAAAATAACTTTATTAATAACCAATTAATTTTTTTAAATATTATGTTTAATGAATAATTAAAGTTAAACACATACCAATTAAATTTTTATTTTAAATATTATGCTTAATAGATAATTAATGTTAACCATATATTAATAATATATTTTATTTTTAATTATTTTAATGTCATATAATAAGGCTATACGTGAAAATTAAAAATTCTTTTATTTACGATATGCTTTAAATTTTATTCAATTTATGATTTAAATTAAATGTTAGAGCGAAATACATATTATATACTTCATGTATTTATTATTTAACTTAATAGATAATAAAATAAATTTACAATCTATAATCTACAGTATTAAAGACTATAGAATAGAAAAAAAAAATAATTTACAATTGATTTTCAATATTTCATGATATCTATCTATAATTTATAATCTATTTATCTATAATAATAATAATAATAATAATAATAATAATGATCTATCTACACTGTATATAAATGTGGGAAAGGGGAGAATAATGAGATTTCCTATACTAACTTTAGTTTAATTAAAATTTCGAATATATCCTTTTAGTTAGATTTTTATTGCATTCTAATTAGAGAAAATATGTTCATTTATCCTTTTAAAGAACCTTTTAATTTGAGAAAATAGATTTTATTTTTCCTTTTAAATATCCTTTTACTTATATTTTGATTTTTATAATTAATAGTTTTTTATATTTTTAATCATATATTCTCGTGTTATATTGCTTTTTATGAGGTAAATCGAAAACTTTATTTCAACTATTGAAAGTGGAACTTAAATTCTATTAATTTATTATGTTATAAATTTTTTAAAATATAACTAAACATTTTATTATTATACTATATTAGTTAATTACAATGAAATTAAAATAATTTTTTTAAATATATAATTTCTCTTTAATTTTTTTAGAGAGGATGATGTACACTTATTTGAATCATTTACGTATTATTGTATTTTAAAATTTTTTAAATTTAACAAAACAATGGAATTATGAAACTATAATATTTGACTAATATAAAAAAATAGATTTTTTTATATTTTTTTAGTCTAATGAAATTTTTTTGAAAAAATATGCTATAAATATTTGAATTTGCTAGAAATAAAAAGAAAATTCAAGAGCTCTATTTTCATTCAATATTTTATTCTTTTATTTTTGAAATTTATAGAAATTTATTTAATTTTTCTATAATTTAATAGGATATGTTTTTTAAAATATTTTTTAATAGATATAAAGATAATTGACCTTTAAAATTTTAATATTTTTTCAAAAATTTTATACGTGACTTATTGAAATTTTGAATTTAACTTCATTTTCGATCTCTTTAAACTTGATAAAGTAACATTCATTATTAATGTTATTCTTTAAACTTGATAAAGTACATTCTATTATTAATGTTATTAATTACAACTTTAAGTAATTTATTTTTGGATTTTGTGCAAAGATATTGTCCAAAATATTATCTACTATTGATAAAATTTCAGTTTAATTTCATCCGATGAAAATAATTGATGTGAAGATCAAAGTCATACATTATATTGTGGCTATGTACAGTAAATCGTGATTTATTAGATTAATGTTATAATATTACCAAATTATAGAATATTTTGCAGTATGATAAATGCGAATTTGTAGTGATTTTATAAAATTAATTAACAATAAAATTATATATATATTTTTTTATTAAAGAGGGAGAAACATAAACATCATTTTCTTTTGTAATTAGATATTATAATACAATACACATTTAAAATTTCATTGTATATATAAAATGCAACATTAATAAATCGTTGTTTTTATTTTAATTTAAATAAAAATTTATACTTAAATATTATGTAAATAAAAAATAACAAAGTTAAACGAGTAAAGTCCACGTGGAACTTCCGTCATAAAATAACTGGTCATAATAAATGTAATAACATTAAAGAGTTAAAGACTTATGTTAAAAGTGAGGGCTATTAAAGTTTGCCACAAAATTTTACCTTGGAAAATTAACTCTAGTGTACTGAGAGATCAAGACATGAATTTATTACTCTAGTGTACTAGTCAATAACAATGTGGACCTACAAATTTATTACTTCCTTGTTCTAGGAAAATTTAATTTTTTCATAAAAATTAAAAAATGATTGAAATATATTGATTTTTCAAAAATATAAAGTAGAATGTGTAAATTATTCTTATTAAAATTAAAAGATCCTTATCTAATTTTGCTAAAAAATACTTAATAATATAAATAAAATTAAAAAATAATAATTAATATAGTCTCAAAATACTAAATAAATACGTAAAGTAAAACAAAATAAAATATTTAATTATTGCTATTAAAGTGTAACGAAGGGAGGAAGTGATATATTAGAATAGGAAAGATTGCATTATCGAGGAGAAAAGAACAGTGAAAGAGAGCATTTGTCTTAAATTGGTTGGAAAAATATGCACCCCACTATATATAATAAACCTAACACATTTTTGTAGCTTTTGAAGGGATAAAATCTATCTTTCAATCTCCAAAACACTTCTTGCATTTCAGGTTTGCACACTCCTCCCTTTCATATATAAACATGTATTTTCAAATATAAATTGAGATAGTATTCGGTTAAAATTTTGTAACTGTGAATTTTTAAAAAATTACCGAGATTATTTTTTTAAAGAAAAAACTTTAATTTTCTTATCCATCAACTTATTTACAAACAAACAAAAGTAATATGAAATGCATGATTGATAAAGAAAATACAATTATCAACTTTAATAGTGGGAAGGACAGGATGGCGTTGCATTATTAACGAGAAAAGAAAAATTTAAGAGAGTATGTGTCTAATACGCAGCCAACACATTTTTTTCGCTTTTGAAGGAGAAAATCTGAGTGCTTTCAACTGCTAGCTAGACCACTTCTTCAGACAAAGATCTTGCACTTCAGGTTTGCACACTCTCCTGAAAAATTTGCCATATTCTTTTTTCAGTACTGAAACATTATATTGATAACCTTGAATTAACTTTGATTTCCAATTCTCATGGATGTCGTTGTATATCAGTTTTGATCTCTCCCTATCAAAAGTTCTTTTTAGTTGTTAAAAGATGTGTTTCTGTCCAAATGGAGTTTATTAGCTAACATTTAAAAAAAAAAAAAAAACATTTAAAAAAAAAAAAAAAAATTGAAATGTATTAGGCGTTTCTTGAGTTAGATGGGACAGAATGGTGCAGGAAGTAATTAATCAGGAAGTAATAATTCAAATGATGTCAAAGATGAAAGCAGAAGGCAATTAGTGATTGATATACCAGACAACTTAGAGGATTTACTATCGCAGCCAGCTTTATGGCCAGAAATTTGTATCTACAAAATTCCAAGAAAACTTCGAGCTATAAATCCGTCAGCCTACACTCCTCAAATGATTTCCATAGGCCCTTTTCACCACAATGAAAAATCATTGAAACCTATGGAGAAGCACAAACTGAGATATTTGGCAGAATTCTGCAGAAGGACCGGTAAGAATTGGGCTGATCTTGCAGAGAAAATTATAGAATGGGAAGAAACAATCCGTCACTGTTATGACCAAACATTTGAATCGTATGAAAACAACATGTTTGTAAAAATGATTCTATTGGATTCTGTGTTCATTATCGAATTTTTCTTGAGAAGAGGAGAGAATTTTATTTCGACAGAAAAATATAAAGCTGATTATATATTAGGCAAACCATCGCGCGAACATGGCATAACTTCGACCCACTTCTCTGGCTCTGCTCTATCCATGCTTGCTCGTTTAATATATGCTCCTATCCACATTAACGGTTGCCTGATGGGTTCTCCATGCCATTGCTTCGGACCACTGCCGATGCCTAAGGACTTCGCCATTGCTTCGACATCGGGTGGAGAACGATGCCTACGACTGCGCCATTGCTTCGACATCGCCTGGAGTTGTGGTGCTAGGACTGCGCCATTGCTTCGACCACCACGTGGGTGTCAAGTACACAGCGTAACATTTGACTCTTAACCCTGCGGAGTGCGTGTTTAGTCAAGTGGACTTCGAAAACGTTGCCAGCAAGTCGACTCTGATACCACTCTGTTAATGGGGCCTGGAGGTCTTGCGGCAGCACTGCGCCCGTGCGGCGCCCCCGGGGACCTGCCCACATTGGCAAGTACTTTGTCTCCGAGGCAAGCCTTATCATACCGCTACCACAACTGGTTTGCGCCCCCTGCCATGGCTCATAAAGAAAGCAGCCCAGCTCCGACCAGTGTGCCCCGCGGCACAATACCTCGCCTGCATGTAGGACTTTGCATGGGGTTAAAGGGCCACTAGGGTGGAACACGCCTTGGAACAACGCCTTAATCGCTAAGCCGCCCGAACCCTTGCAGGTTGAAACGCAGCCTAGTACGCTCTTTCATAAGGGCCTAACACAGTCACGGAATTTGTCCGTGACATTGGGCTTCACTTCTTCGTGTTGTTGCTGTCATTCTACTGAGCAATTATCCTCACCTTGTTGCGACTTGTCGTTTATTAAAGCTGATAAACGAGCAGCTTGAAAACACGTGTGCCTTCCTCTATAGGTCACTTCAAATATTATAGAGTTCTGATCTCTGAACTTATTTTGTGGCTAAACAACCTCGTGAGGGCATCTATAGTATCTCTGCAATAAAATTTGCTACCAATATTTTACCTTGGAAAATTAACTATAGTGTACTGAGAGATCAAGACATGAAATATAATCAATTACTAGTCAATAACAAAGTGGACCTACTCCCTTTCAAAAAAAAAAAAAAAAACAACAAAAAACAACGTGACCTAACAAAATTTATTTACTCATCCGTTTGAGCGACATTTAAATTTTATACCTAAATTGGTTGAAAAAATGGTGCACCCACTATATATAAATATACCTAACACATTTTGGTCGCTTTTGAAGGGATAAAATCTTTCTTTTGAATTTTATTAGAATTTTTGTTTAATTTTTCTATAATTTTAATTGATATATATTTAAATATTTTTTAAATTAGGATTAAAGATAATTTAAGACCTTTATTTTAAATATTTTTTAAATAGATATAAAGATAATTAGACCTTTAAAATTTTAATATTTTTTCAAACACTTTTATATGTTACTTTGTAATTTTTTAATCTAATCTCATTTAAATCTTCTTTAAACTTGATAAAGTACATTCTATTACCAATATTATTGTTTACAACTTTACATATTGATACTCATGTAGAGTTGAAAACTTTAAGTAATTTATTTTTAATTTTGTGCAAAGATATGGTCCAAAATATTACATGTTATTGACAAAATTTTAGCTTAACTTCATCAATTACTAATCTAAGTATGTGAGACCAAGACATGAAATATAATTAGTTACTAGTCAATAACAACGTGGACCTACAAATTTATTACTTCCTCTCTTCCAATTTACGAGCGACATTCAATTTTTTCATAAAAATTAAGAAAATAATTGAAATATAATGATTTTTTAAAAATATAGAGTAGAATGTGTCAATTGTCCTTCTTAAAATTAAAAGCTCCTCATCTAATTTTGCTACAAAATACTTAATAAATATGGATAAAATTTTAAAAAATAATAATTAATATAGTCTCAGAATTCTGAATAAATACTTAAAGTGGAATAAGATAAAATGCATAATTGTTACTATTAAAGTGTAACGAAGGAGGGAGTACCATATTAGGACAGAACAGATTGCATTATCAAGGAGAAAAGAACAATGAAAGAGAGCATTCGACTTAAATTGGTTGGAAAAATATGCACCCCACTATATATAATATACCTAACATATTTTTGTTTGAAAGGATAAAATCTGCCTTTCAATCTCCAAAACACTTCTTGCACTTCAGTTTTGCGCACTCCTCCCTTTCACATAGAAATATGTATTTTCACATTTAAATTGAGATAGTATTGAGTTAAAATTTTGTACCAGTGAGTTTTTAAAAAATTACCCAGAAATACACTTTTGAAACTACCTTATTTTTTTAAGAAATAACTTTAATTTTGTGATCCATCAACTGATTTACAAACAAAAGAAATTAATATAAAAGCTACGACTGATAAAGGCAATACAATTATCAAATTTAATTAATTAATTGGTAGGACCAGAGCGTTGCATTGTTGATGAGAAAAGAAAAATCAAAGAGAGCATTCGTCTATAAAAAGGTTAATATTGTTTGGATACACCCACGCCCAACACATTTTTGTCGCCTTTGAAGGAAAAAAACCTGAGTGCTTTCAACTGCTAGCCAGACCACTACTTCGGGCAAAGATCTTGCACGTAAGGTTTGCACACTCTCCTGAAAAATTTTGCCTTTTTTTTTTTTTCATTACTGAAATGTAATATTGATAACCTTGAATTAACTTTGATTTCCAATTCTTATACATGTCCTTGTATATCAGTTTTGATCTCTCCCTGTCAAAATATTCAGTTTTGAATCTTCTTTCCCTGTCAAAAGTTCTTTTGGTGCTAAAAGATGTTTGGTGTGCAAATGGAGCTTAATTAATTAACAAATATTTTTTAAAAAAGAATAATATATATGAAGTATATTAGAGTGTTTCTTGGGCAGATTGGGACAGAATGGTGGGAAGGGAAGTAATTTCAAAACTGATGTCGAAGCTGAAAGGGAGAAAAGCAATTAGGTCATTGACATAACAGACAAACTTAGCGCGTATTACTATCGGAGCCAGCTTTATTGGCCAGAAATTTGTATCTACAGAGTTCCAAGAAAACTTCGAGCTATAAAATCCGTCCAGCCTACACTCCTCAAATTATTTCCATAGGCCCTTTTCACCACAATGAAGATTCATGTGAAAACCTATGGAGAAGCAAAAAAACTGAGATATTTGGCATATTTGGCAGAATTCTGCAGAAGGACTGGCAAGACTTGGGTTGAGCTTGAAAACAAAATTAGAGAATACGAATTAAAAATCCGTCACTGTTATGATCAAACATTTGAGCAGTATGAACAGAACATGTTTGTAAGAATGATTCTATTGGATTCTGTGTTCATCATCGAATTTTTCTTGAAAAGAGAGACAACAGAAGAATCAGAAGAATATAAAGCTGATTATATATTAGGAAAACCATCTAGCGAAGATGCCATATTAGAAGATTTGATATTGCTGGAAAATCAGCTGCCTTATTTTGTGCTTGAGAATTTATATGAATTTGCTACTGGAAATTCTGCTACTGGAAATTCTGATTGTTTTTTTCTCTCGTGTTCACACAACCTTAGGTATTACCTGAAAGAGCTGCGGCCTCCAAGCATTTGATGATGACATCATAAAAATAATAGATGCGCGATTGTTCTCCATTTTTTATGGGTTTTGGATTTCGAATATGTTCTGCTTGTCAAAAAAGAGCACAAAGGGACGATGAAAAGTACAAGTACAGAAGGAAAAGAAATGAGGAGAAGCCTAAGCACTTTACTGATTTGATTAGAAGATTAAGATTCCTACAAAACATCCAGTGGTCAAAGAATGATGCTTATTGAAAGTCTTTATAGTGCTACAAAGTTACACGAGGCAGGAGTCAAGTTTAAGGTGGATAAAAAGGCGTGGCCTCTTGATATAAAATTTGAAAGGGGAGAATTGAAAATGCCAAGATTTGAAGTTCACGATGGCACAGAACGATTGATAAGAAATCTGATGGCTTTTGAGCAGTGTCACTATCCAAACGATCCTTACATATGTGAGTATATATTGATATTAGATTTTCTAGTAGATACTGAGAGAGATGTGGAATTGCTTATTCAAAATGGTATTATCACTAATTTGCTTGGGGAGTGCAAATCAGTGGCTAGGATGGTGAATAAGCTTTGTCTTGAAATTACAACATCTGGGTCTTGTTTCTTGGGTCTTGTTTCTATGGAGTAAGTGTGGATCTTAATAAACATTATGAGAATCCTTGGTTTAAGACTGTGGCTATCATGAGAAGTGTATATTTTAGCAATCTCTGGAGAGGGACTGGAACTATTGCAGCACTTATACTTTTATTTCTCACTTTTATACAATCTGTATACTCTCTCAGACGTATATTTTAAGTTCAGTGTGCTTATGTTGTAGTAGTGATGTTCTTATAATATGTTGTTATGGTGATGTTATTATATTTTAATGTTCTTATTATAGTATATGTTACTTTAATAAGACTCTGCTCGGTTTGTGATTTGTATTTGTTTTCCAACTTTTGACATTCTATTAAGAGTTTGCGTATTGCAAAGTGCTTCGGCTCCCTTCATCTCCTCCCTTCTTTTTATTTCTTTGTTTAGCTATCAAAAGGGCAGAGTCTTACTGTTTTAGCTGTAAGTTACCTTATCGGCCGCATTTGCCAAATTTAAAGCCATAAACTTTTAGTTCAATTTTCACATAGTTCAATTTTCATAATGACCATTGCGCTCAATGATTCTAAACATTTATTTCAGTCCACAAGCGAATTAATTTTTAATCTACTATTAGTTTACAAGCCAAATTGATAAAAGAAAAAAGGGTTAAACCTACTCGTCATTAAACTCCCTAATCAACTGAAAAATTTTCTGGGAAGGCACCACCCGAGACTCAAGAACTTTCTCTTAATCTCTCTTTCCAAGCACTGACCCATCAACATCATAAAATTAATCCTATTAATAATTAACCAAATAATTCTAAAGGGAGAGTGGAGTCGAAATCCACGCTATCTATTGAAAGATCCCAATCTCCGATTGGCGAATTGGTAACTGAAGTTGGAGCGGAATTAGATTCTGGCGTTCTTGCATTGTTGTCTATTCCAAAGCCGGACGACGTCGCCGGAGATATAAATGCAGGTGAAAAGTTAACAAAGAAATCATTCTCCATTATTGACTCCTTGAAAATATCATTTTCTTCATTGAGAGAAAAGGGTAGAAATATTTCCAAGTCTTCGCTTTTACTGAGTCCTTCTCTGTAATTGAAAGATATCTCTTTTAATAGCTTGGGCTTCACTTCTTTGTGTTGTTGCTGTCGTTCTACTGAGCAATTATCCTCACCTTGTTGCGACTTGTCGTTTATTGAAGCTGCTAAACGAGCAGCTTGAAAACATGTGTGCCTTCCTCTATAGGTCACTTCAAATATTGTAGGGTCTTGATCTGATCTCTGAACCTCGTGAGGGCATCTATAGTATCTCTTAGCCCTCTTCTCTTTTTTCATTTGACGGGGGAAAAAAACTTGGGAGGATATCCCAAAACATAAACAACCTTGTGAGTGACGATGAGTGCAGCTATAGTATCCTCTGCAACAAAACATGTCGTTTAGTGAAATGTGGTGTGGAGTCTGGAAAAACTCAGAATTTTATATTTAAGATTATAAAAGTCCAGAATGTTGGTGTGATTGATATATCATTAATTAATTTTTATGCATTTTAATTGCCGAGAAAAATAAATATGGTATCCTTTTGAATGATCGTTTATTCTATTTTTTACTGCCTTTTTAATCGAAAAAAAATATATTTCATTTATATTTTTGAATATCCCTTTTAGTTAGATTTTTATTGCATTTAATTCGAGAATAATATATTATATATATATATATATATATATATATATATATATTTTCTATTTGATCTGTAAATTATTGTCAATGATTTTATAATTAATAGTTTTCTATTTTAATCATATATATCTCATGTTATATTTACTTTTAGGAAGGATAAATGGAAAACCCTTATTTTCAACTATTTTTGGAAGTTGGAACCTTAAATTCCTATTTAATTTATTATGTTCTAAATTTTTTTTAAAAAAATTATGGGACTAAAAACCCACTTTTATTTTTTCCTTCTATACTATATTAATCTCTTCTCTTT